TTTTTTTATTAGTTAAAAAAGTTTCAAAAATCCAATAGATTTCGTTCCACTTCACAATTGTGTCCCACTTGTTGGTGATTCTTCACATAAAATAAAAAATGTATATCTTTATGTTTGAAGCCTGAAATGTGGCAAAAGGTTGAAAAGTTCAAGGGGGCCGAATACTTTCGCAAGGCACTGTACAACAAGTGTATCGGAATGCTTACTCATTCAGCTGTACCCAGTAACATTAGAGAAAGAAAAAAGAAAAAATGCATAAATGACAAACAGACAATACATCCAGACAATAGACATTATAATACAGCCAAGACAGGACATAATGCAAACAGTGCAGTACCTTAAAGTGCAGGCGCTAATATGTACAGGTGCTAATTTGTGCTGTTTAAGATGTGGACTGCATGGGGGAAGAAACTGTTTTTTAATCTATTTGTCAGTGTACTGATACTGCGGTACCTCCTACCAGAACCCAGCAGTGAAAACAGATCGTGGCCAGGGTGAATTGGGTCACAAAGTATAGCTCGATTCTGGTTGTGGTTACAGATATCGTTCATGTCTGCAAAATGTTGAATCTACTTTGCTTTATCTGTCTCACAATCAATGTGCTTAGATTGGGAAAACATTTGAGTTAATAGAAAACAGTACAGATAAGTGTTGAATTCTCAGAATGAGGTGAAGTAATTAGTGGAGTACCACAGGGACGTGTACAAATACCAGTGTTCGTCCTGATTTATATCAATGATGTAGATTCTGGCATTAAAAGCAGCAGATGAAGCCCAAAAAGTTTGCATAAAATTCAAGACAAACATCCAACTTTTGGGAAGTAAACAGTTCATATCTTATTAATTGCATGATGAGAGATCATGTTTGCACCACCTAACTGTTGCATAACAAAGCAGTGTCACATTCATTTAGTCTGGAGCTGAGTTTATTAGGTATTTGATTATCCAATTTTATTGGTTAATACACACACACAAATGGGAAAAAAGGCAATTTAATTTCTCTTATGATAAGCACAAAGCTACTGTAGATCCACTGAGCTCTTACTGCTGACTCTAATAAACCTCAGCCATAGCCAACACAGCAAGCCTGTTTAAAAGACAGAAGTTATACACTTCTGATTGGTATAGAAGTATTATGCCTTCTTAATTGGTTTTACAATTATGTGCAGACTGAAAATGAAGAAAAATGATGTCTGATCTTGTAATTAACAAGATTTTGAACATATATTTTTTTATATTTTATGATCATGTTTAGCAGTATGGCTGTCAGCACACGTCTAGTGTAAAGCTCTGCTCGGAATTTTATAAAACTAATTTATTTGTTCAGGCGCACGATCATGACTGGAGAATGTTAGGAGCAATAAAATTGGCCACAGAGCCATAGAAATTGTACACGTGCAATAGATGTGCTTTACTAATATACAGTGGTGCCACAGACAGCTTTGAACTATCGCTTTGTCCTGTGCTCTTTTATTTCTCCGGTTGCTAACAAGTGCCCCAGTTTGTGTCAGTCTTCCATTGCATCCAGTGCTCCACTCTATCCTGATACCACATGCTGAGCTCTCACTCTGGCTCTCAAACCTGGCATTAGCACTGACCATATCCGCCTCTAATGTCCCCATTGTACCTGCTCCACTGCAGGCCAGCCTGTGTCAGCCACACCTTAAACCCTGCTAGCCTGTGCATTACAGGGAAGGCTCCTCTTATCTTTCCAGCAATGAGCCCTAAAATTCTGTAGCGTTTACCAGTGGTTTCCAGAATAGGAATAAGAGTGACATTTATTACAGACATAACCTACTACCACACACGGACAAAGAATGTGAATTCATGCAGCTTGTGTGCTATGCTGTTTTTGAAATCCAAAAGGATTTTTGACATCCACTGTTTAAACCCCCACATATAAGCATGTGGTCCTAACATAAGAGCAAACTAAAAGCGTGTTTAATACATTTTAAGAGCAGAGAGAGATCGTATCAGGAAAATGGCAAACTTTTATGAATACTGCAAATAGAAATTGTGCTATATAAACAGAATTGTAATGATATCCACACAGAGTGCCACTGCTTATTCAGAGTTTTTGTCTTTCTGTATAGATAGCAACTGCATTTGCAAAATAAACATGTCTTTGTCAAGACAAACAGAACAACTAAAACAAATGCACTTGTGAAGGTGAAAGAATAAAATGGGGGGAAATGCACCTATTTGTTTATGCATTTGTTCTATTTAGAAATCAAATGATAGTATGTTTAGAGTAAAAAGCATACAATAACAGGTCAATTCAAATTTGTAGTCCAACATTTAATAATGAAGTACATTGTAGTGTGCATTTATTTATGGCTTACCTTCTGGTACTCCATTAGACCCCCATCACTGCTAATTGTCCTATTGAGGTTAGACTCACCAAGGTTGAACTACAGAAGTGCTGGTCTTATCCATTGCCTTTACCTGGAAATTGTTTTTGATGTTCTGAATTTTATATTTCTTAAAGAATAATGTGCTTAAATATAAACTAAATAGTTTTGAATGTGATGCATATTAACAAGAAATGTTTCATCAGTTCACATCATGAAGATTCCACCTTTACTGCTTTATACACATTTATTTTTTTAAGAGTCATTACCGTAATCCCTATAGTCTATAGTCTAATTCCTATGAAAGGAATAGCATCACTTTTATGTGCAAAATGAGATGGAAAAGGGTGCTGAGCTATAGTTTCTAAAGTCATCCAGTATAATGAAGCATGGCATAATGTCTGAAATTGTATTTTATATTCTGAATTGTTAGTTTTTTTAAAACCAATAAGACAATATCTTCTGCAAATGTAGGTTGCCATGTGAGCACCATCAAGACTGCATTATTTCAGTAAGCTACTGTTTACGTGCATGTCTGTTTTTGTTCCATAGGATTTGAAGAAAGTGCTGTCCTTCCCCCCTTATCCAGGGGAGTTTCTCCACCCTGTTGTGTACGCCTGCACAGCTGTCATGTTACTGTGCCTGTTTGCATCAATTATTACCTACATTGTGCACCACAGGTAATTTTTCAGACATCAAATATATTCATCTTAATGGTGTGATTATTTGTAAAGAATGTGCATGATGTTGTGATCCGTGGATGTTTTTCTTTTCTTCCCACTTAGTATATACATACCACATAGTTATTTAGAAATAATATGCTTTCTGATTGTTAGCTCTGTATCCATTTCTCTTGTCAGATCTTTTCAATATGGTTCCTCTCTCTCAGAAAGTAGCACACAGCCTTTAACTACAGCAAGGGACATTTTCACTTATCTTTCTTAAAGAAATAAACATATTTTACTAATTATGGTCCTTTATTGAAAAATGGTTTTGAATAGTAGGCTCACATAAAATTTTCATTGTGTTCACATTGCACTGGCAAAGAAAGGCTCAGAATTTCATGGATTGTTCAGAGTCATTAGTTAGTGACCCTTCCTTGTCATTGTGAAGGTAATGGAAAGCAAAAACATTGAATGTACCAGTAAGCAGTATACTGCTTCCAGGGTTCTAAAGGAGGAACACTGGAATTCTCACACTTAGGAGACATTTTACTCATCTGTAATGTATTTTGAAAAGGGAAATGGTTATCTGTGGTAGTATGCATGGATCTTCATGTGTCAGGATAAGAATAAGAATAATTTACTGTATTTAGTATTTGCATGCTTGAAAAAGGACTGTATATATGTCATGAAAATGTAATTTATTTTCTTATGATTCATTAGGCTGCATTGTAGATTTACTGTACTTAATATTCTTAATAGCATTATATTCTTAACGGTAGTGGGGTTGTACGTCTTATTGTTGGCATTATCACTGTGCTAACGCTTTTAACCACCCTTTACTGATTTAGCATGCTTTCTGTTTGATTTATAAAGGTGTGATCAATCTTTATCTAAGAACATAGTTTTGAAATTGCTCAGTTCTAAATTTCTGTCACTATAAAACGAGTTGATCATTTTTATTTAGACAAGCCAAAATGTTTTTTAATCTATCCAATGTTGGAAATAATCATAGAAAGAAAGTAGAAGGCTATATAATGCAAAGGACTTATTAAAACTGAATAGCCTTTGTGTATAAATGAGATTTTACCTTATGTAGTCATGCACTGTATGTAAAACATAATATGTAATGTAAAAACAAGTACACACCCATTGTTTTGTTCAAATCCGAATTGTACAGGTCTTGAAGATTGGCTAACTCCTGTAATTCGCGCACTCATTTGCCAGATCACTACTGGATTGTTATTTGTCACATATATTTGACTTACACTTTGGAGAATTAGGATATCCATTTTTTTACTTTTCTTTCGTTCACGGCACCTGTTTAATGAAGCCCCATGAGAGTTTTTCATACACTAATGTGAAATGTTACTGCAATCTAACAATGAAATTGCTTGAAATATTAGATTTCCTTTTCAGGAACCACAGTGTTCCACACACTGCAGTAGTTACAACTATACAGCAGTATCGATGTCTATGTTGTTTTGATGTGTTGCCTGACAAGTTGTGACATTGTAGCATGTAGTACTGTGTTACATGAAATTTCTTTTATACCCAAAAGTTGTTAATCTACTGTCTAGTTTGCATTATTGATCGATACAGGAGATGGTTGAATGCAATCAACTTCTGAAGTCAACCAAGTATGGATAGAGTAGTACTATGTTATATTACTGAGAGTACTGATGAGTACTGAGGTACTCACCTTTAATCAATATATCAATATAAGGTTATACTGTATTATATGTCATTCTTTTTGCTCCATCAAGTGCCTCAAATTCAGACTCGGAGTATATATCAATTTTTGTTGTAGGGTTTTTCTGATGTTTGAAACTAGACATAAATTGCTCAGATTTCTGTGTAATTGGAGCATATAAGGACAGTTTCATGAAAACGAACATGCTTGAATGAGATTTTGATGTTTTTTGGCAGAAACTTTGACAAGGGAATAGCTATATAGCACTGTTAGAGACTGCAAGATTTCAGAAGAAACATTCTTTACCTCCATAAGTACAAATAAAAAAGCCTTATTCACTCTCTATTTCTGCCAGAATTCTAATGTCAATCCTCTGAAAATAACTTCGATGTTAACTTCACAGAAATACTTCTTGTCTTCTATCTCTCTTGCAAGCTTTTATAATTTTTTTTTTATCTAAGCTTATTTTTAAATAATCTCTTTGTATGTTTTCTTGGTGTTTAGTCTATATGTATGAGATTAACTCTCCACAGTACCCTGATTGCTGAGCCCCTAGTCATATTAAATGAATTTATTTATCTTTGTCATAGTTCTGTCTGCAGTATTGACTACAGTTCACTAAACATTGACAGTTTTTTATTGTTGCTTGCTTGTAGGTATTACTGTTGTGTAATTAAGCCAGGCTTTGTGGACTTGACCTAGTAAGGTCAATCTTGATCGCCTAAGAGACCATTTGCATTCAAAATGCATTGTTTTTCCTTCTGTGCTAACAGAGAGAATTTACAGATAGAGAGCAATGGCTTTAAAGAAAGCTATTTTGTCATATAGCAGAAGTGTTAATTTAACAACAGATGTGAAGATAATATGAGGCTTATTGGATGTCATTTTTATTTAATTTTTATTTTTTGTCCCTTTTGGTAGCACAATCCGCATTAGTAGGAAGGGCTGGCACATGCTCCTCAACTTTTGTTTCCACACTGCTCTGACCTTCGCAGTATTTGCCGGGGGCATCAATCGAATAAAATATCCCATCATCTGCCAAGCAGTAAGTACACTGAATGTTTTTCGTGTGTTAAAACATTCATAATTGAATATTATTGTTTCTGTTTACTGTTATGGTGTTTAAAGGATTTGGTGTGAAAATTCCTGTGATATGCAGTGAGATTATTCAAATAAAGGACTTTGGTTAACCAGTTTAGCTAATATTTATATATATATAATATTTATATTATATCATATTCCACCAAGAAAATTTGCCTGTAGAATTTCTCTGTACACCTGATGCTTATGGCACTCCACCTGTTTTTTAAATTGCACGTCTTCATTGGCCATGGTTAAAATATTTGTTATTTTAATCAGTATTTGTTAACATATCTTAAGTGTCTTTGATTTAAATAAGATTGTGTATTTTTTAAAAATGTTTATTACTGATGGTGGCATGGAGACTTTATTCAAGTGGTACTTTATAGCAACATGTGAATGCTAGCCCTACTATCAAACACTGTATAACCAGCATCACTGGGTGCCTTTGTGTTAAGCTGTTGTGTTAAGTAAGAATTCCATTGTACCAGTACTGGTTACATATGGCAATAAAGCTCAAGTTCAAGTTAAGCTCTAGGACAGAGAGGATGATTTATATAATATAAAATTTGATCCTATGTAATTTCGTTTTACTGTGTACTAGAAAATAAGATTTGTACGTGTTTGATATTTCTCATTTGGTGATGTTTCAAAAGTGGTAAACTGTATTGAATTATACTGGCAATTTGAAAATTAGTATAAAAAAAGAGAAAAAATGTTTAAAACAATGAATATTATGTTTTTCCATCTCTAAACGAGATGTAGCGAGATATGTGAGTGTCTTATGTTAGAGGCATGGTTGCAATTAAACAGTTTATTTTTTAAACATTTAAACAGAGGGGAACAGGACAGAAAGAAGAGAAAAGCTTTTACTTACTGGTATCAACTTTGATTTCTAACTTTTATTTCTGGTTAAATGTGGTTTAGTATTTAAGCATCATGTTGGTCCTGGCATGTTCTATGAAACTTTCAGATGCAAAGGACCCAGTTATAAATGAGAAAAAAATAAATAGGAAAAAAATACAAAAATACTAAGAATTAGTAATAGAAAGAGAATAACAATAAAAAAACATTTCACAAATTGTAAACTTGTATTTTTCAGCACTGATATTATAAATGTGAACATGATCAATATTTGGATAAATCTTTATGCGCAAATCTTTTAAGCACTTTTTTTTATTATGATGGTCACACCTTTAATCAGGCTTTGTAACGGTCATTGCCAAAACTAATGAGTTTTTATCACAATGTTTCTTCCAGTTTATGTCTTTAAAATAATGATAGCCTACTTAATTTAAAAGTAGTATCAAAAGCCTTAATTTTATATTCATGCTCTTACAGTAAGTGGGTAATACATATTTGACATATTTGAGAAACGTTAAACTATTAAACACAAAGTTTGTAACTTGATAATTACATTTTGATACGTTGTCATTATGGAGTAGCAAAATGCAGCTTAGTGTTGTATCTAGATTGGTTAATTGAAGTACACAAGTCTTTTCCAGTAAGACCCTGATTATTTTATTAATATGCATCTCATAAATCTTAAATTATCTGGGGAGTATGAGATGTTTGCTGTTCCCATAACTTTCTTATTGCAGGCTGCAGACAGAATTAAAAAAGCACATAGCATAACCCATGTTTAATGATTCACAGTCAGACCTAATCTTGGTCCCATTTTAACTCCTGCTGGTGTAAAAGGGTATTTAAGTGTATTTGTAGTAGCATTATAGTTCATATTCAGTTGTATTAATATAGTAGTTTATATTTTCAGTATGGTACAGTAGAACGAGAGGTGAGAATGAAAAACAACCACATTAATTTCCGTAACACTTATGAATCAACATGAGTAAAACAAGATCTGTTACAGTAAGATAGTTATCAATACAGAGCATCACAAGTAAAACCATTTCACATACATCCCTAATCCATTGCAAATATCCTTTATTTCAAATATCCACCATGTGAAAATACATGTTTTGCAGTTTCCAGTAAAAGTAACTGGGTGTTGTATACAAACTGATGATCAGAAGAAATGTTTTCCCCTTTGGATTTTCAGTTTGTTTTTAACCTGGAATTTTGATGTGAGTTGACATTCTCTTGTTGGAGGGATGTTTCAGTCCAGTCTGTTTTGTTTAAACTAAAACAACTAATAAACAAGAGCAAACAAATTCAGCAGTTGTACTACAGAACTGCTGCCGCTTTTCACCCCCAGGGACATGTGGTATGGTAGCTGCAGAAGAGATTTTATTGTGCAGTGCTTCTTAAAATGTTTGTTTCTTTTCCAGAAGGTTGTTTCAGAATCATAAAAGCTTAACGTATTGTAAATTTGAGTTTGTGCATTTACACATTCATTCTGATTTTTAAAATGCTGAAGAAATTATTTGTTCTGGTTTGATACAGGTTGGCATTGTGTTGCATTATTCAACACTTTCAACCATGCTGTGGCTTGGGGTTACTGCCAGAAACATTTATAAGCAAGTGACAAAGAAACCTCATCATGTTCAGGATGGAGACCAATCACACCACCCCAAACAGCCAATGTTAAGGTAAGAGGAATTTCATTCCATGCAGATATTATAAAAGAAATACAGTTACAGAATAATACTTCCACTGTGTGATAGTTAAATAATAACCTGTGTGATCTTGAAAACATCAGTGTAAATAATTGGATCACAGATCGATGCTAAAGCCTTCCAGTACTGGTTTGACTTAAACTTTCATTGCCTTAATTTTGGCAGGTTTGTAAGATATACAATTTTATTTACTTAGTAAATGTTCACTTTCCTGTATCTTACCTTCAAAGGGCTCTGTGATGAAGTTATGTTGTTCAGTAATTCATCATATCATCATGTCTTTAGTTTACAGCACTGCACTCCTTGAACCAAATTGAGTTTATCAAGTAATAGAAGCATTTTAAAAATCATGTGACTTCTAACTTTCGCTTAAGCATTTTAAGATCTTTAACATAAAAAATAGTATTTATAGTCTTACTGCTCATTTATCATTTGAAATAAAAAATGTCTTGTATGTATGCCAGGAAAATAAAAATGATTTATATTTAATTTACTCCAGGGAAGCATTTCACTGATGTAATGCAATCCATGACAACATTTTTATTTTTACCTTGTTGATTAATTTTTTAGCATGTCATTCCAGTTGAATGGTACATGCCCACAAGGTCACTTGTAACTGACAGAAATGTTTTATATAATGAGACAATGTGGAGTGTGATAAAAGCCTAGAGTCAGTACTGCAGTCTGTGCTTGTACAATGACTCAGAAAACATGCTCAATATCTTGTTCCCTAGTTCAGAAAAGTCTGAACCAGATTTATCCATTGCTTTTTGTTTGTTTAGTGCATTTCAGGCTAAACAGTAATCATACACAATGATTTAAGTTCTTTAATAGGCAATTATTTCAGATATTTTGGCAAAACGCAGAAAATGAGATGACAGTTCTTCCTGTAAAGTATTGAAGATCAGGGAGGATAAGTAATCATGTGATTCTTAGTCCCTGGACTGACTGCTGTTGATTATCATTCCCATGGAATCATGTTGTCTTTCCTTTAGTGTGCAGACTGTATGGCATGAGCGACCTTGATAAAATCCTAGCAGGATCAGAGTAGAGAGGAACCAAGCGCATACTGTATGTGTGCATCCCAATTTCAAGATAAACATGAATTGAGATAAACCCGGGTGTTCTTTATACTGCGTTATAGATGATGATGATAATAATAATAATAAACTTTATTTTATATAGCGCCTTTAAAGGTGGCTTCTCAAAGCGCTTTACAGGATGACAATAACAATAAATAAGAAGACTACAACAATAATTAAGAAGATTTCACAAGATAGGACACAATTATAATTACAACAATACAACAATAACAATAGAGGAGACCGTGGAAGGTGGTATTAAGAAGAGCAGAGGGGTGAAGAATGGAACCAGTTAAGTAAGGCTTTTCTGAAGAAGAAGGTTTTGAGTCTAGATTTGAAGGAGTTTAGAGAAGGTGACTCTCTAATATCCTTGGGCAAAGAGTTCCAGAGCTTGGGGGCATAGCAGGAGAAAGCCCTATCGCCCATACAATGTAGACGGGCTTAGATGATTTCATCATTTATAAGCAATTTTATGACATAAACAGATTTGAAAGTTACATGGTATATTAAATACACATCCCCCTACATTATCAGCTCCTGCTATATTTTCCATTAAGTTTAATTCAGGTGTACACATTTTGTGGCATAGACTGGCAGAGACATTGCAGGCAGACCACTGATATTTTGCCAGATTATTTGTGTTATTTTACTGTGGGTGGTGTTAATGCATTTAACCTACTTGTCTGGGATGGGCTCATACATCTCTGACTAGTAGGTTAAATTCAGTGGATCAGGCTGGGGAAGAGGTCTCTTAAGGTGGTCAACACTACTGTGCAGTGATCACCACTAAAAAAGTAATGGGTACTTACAATATTATGTTAAAACTAGTACAATTTCAGTTCTTATTTTGTATATTTTAATATTTTTTCAAAGCAGCATAGGTTAATATTGCCTATTTTTACATTATATTTTGGTACCTGTTTTTATAGCTAGGGTTTGCTTTAGTAATCTGGATGAAGTATTGTGCACCAGAGTGGTGTCCCCATCTGGGATTTGAACCCACAACTTTACGCTTCAGAAAGCCCTAACCCAGTGGTTCTCAAACTGTGGTACGCATACCATCAGGAGCGCCCCCAGGTGGTACGCCAGATGACCCTGGAAATTTGTTGTGTACACTGAAAAAATGTTCACATTTTCTGTTTTAATAAATTTAGTTTGTGTTAATTACGTTGGTCCAGCGCACACTAATACTTGAGTGTTCAGACTCCTTTCGAGTTTTCAGAGACACAACTTAGCATCACATTCCCCAACTGAACAAGTAATCGAAAATGAATACATCGCAAAAAATAAGTATTATGGCTGAAAGAAAAAGACGCCAAGAGCACTAACGCCAGCTCCGACAGATAACGCACACCCAGTAAGAACAAGGAGGATTATACATTGGCCACTAGGGTTACCATATTTGAACATCAAAAAAAGAGGACACCATGGGAAACTTTCCTATTGCCTTATCTCAGAAGGGGTTGGGATGGAGAGGGTTTTCAAAATATCCCCTGTTTTATGTTCATTGGTAAAGTAACAATGATGGTGTTTAACTGTGTGAAATGCATAAGTACCCTTTTCTGTGATAACAGTATCCTCTGTTTTGCTGCCAGATTTTACAAAACAATCTGTTAATTTGGTTGACAAACTCTCTCATCAAAGTTTCGCTCTCTTATGACATAATCATACACGTACAGTAAGAAAGATGAACGACGACATAGGTCACAAAGTGAACTAGAGAATTTAAGAAATTCTCTCTCTCTCTGTTTCTAACCTCCTCATCTACTATCTTTAAAAGTTTTGTTAAGTATACTTTATGGTAAAAATAATGTGGTCGAAATCCCAGAAATTTTTGGATATTTGAAAATTCCCCTCGGACGGAGATATAAGGATTAAAATAGAGGACATTTCCGGGAACCCTATCAGCCACTGACACTAGCTCTTCTGTTAGCAAGCGTTGGAAACCGCTACAAGACGGTACGATCCAAATTATCTAAGTGCACAGTGCTATTTTTATTATATGTGTATGTGTGAGTGTGTGTGCGCACATGCTCATGTTGGTCTTTGAGATTTTCTGTAGTTCCTATGAGAAGATGACTTGTAGGTGGTACTTGGATGCTTTGGTTTGATCAGGGGGTGGTACTTGGTCCAAAAAGTTTGAGAACCACTGCCCTAACCTATACACTGCCACTCTTCAATAGACCCCTTGTTAATTTCTGAAGGATTTACATCCATGTACTATACATATAAATACAGTGGCCTCTAAATTTATTCAAGCCCCAAATGGAATGAGAACAATACTTAATCAAATAACGTTAGGATTATGGGATAATGTTTATTGCTTAATCTAATTCTAAAAAGGTTATATAATATTGCACAGAGCAAATTCATATTTGTCATAAAGTCCAGAAAACACAAGGATCACATTTTTTCACACCCCTGTAGTAGGATTTTTGTAAATCCTCCTCTTGCAGGGAGTACATTGGCTAAAGATTTCTTCTATCTTATTTTGATGTTCTGGTACTTCCATACAGGAAATGTATAAACTTTTCTCCTTGTTGAATTGCTCAAAGTTTTACACACAATTTGTTATATGTTAGCAAACTGCCATCTTGAGTTAGAATCACAAATGTACAATTGAATTGGAGTTTAGAGATTGAGACGGCTTGTCAAAGACATTTATTACAATTGCAGTTAATCATTCCTTTGTTGATTTGCATGAATGGTTTGGATCATTGTCATGCTACTGTAGATAGTTCACCTTCAGCCAAACAGAAGCTCTTTTGCAGAAAAAACAGTTTTCTGGCCTAAATTTCCTTGTACATGTTGGAGTTCGCAAATCACAATTTCCCCTATTTTAACAAGGGCATCAGGACCCTAAGATGCAAAATAACCACTAAACATAATAAACCTGTGTTCATGAGAGTTTTCTATACATAAGCTTCATTTTATGATATTTTAATACCATCATAACACTGATGAGCGTATCAAAAAAACTTGATATTCATTTAGTCTCACATTATGAATAATCTCTATATGTGTTTCACCTTCTTTGCAATCCAGCAATGAATGCCATATTCATTCAGATGACTTCAAGTGATAGTTTTCTGCACTTTGTATACTCCAAAGCAAGTATTTTAAATCTCCAAAAGTTGCCTTAGGATCTGTGGTTGCTAGGTTTTAGATTATTTTTTCCTCGGGTAAATATTGTGGTATGCACAGTGAAGAGAAAACGTAAAGAGAATGCTTGGGTATATAGCTAGTTGTTGTAATAATGTATGCTGTTGTTTGTCATTTGTAGAATCTCAAATAGAGCAGTCTTTTTAGACACTCAAATTAATATACTATACTATAATCATGATGAAATGCTTATGGTTTTAGTGGCATTAAATAAACAAAGATTGAGTACTTGAGTGAGTGATTAGAGTTAAAAACTGTATGCAAAGTCATAGAGCAGAAAACATTTTGACACATGCGAGTTATACAATGACAACATGAAACAGCACAGGGAGCTTATTGTAACTGCCTATAATCTTGAATGGATGTAAAAACATGCATTTTTGATTAGCATTTAACATTCACCAACAATGGGTTTGTAAAGTATATTTTGCCCCATCTGCATAGTGGAATTTAATTTAAATTTTAGGGAATGTTGTACGCTTAGAGTGAGATAATTGTTGAATTTATCATTTCACCAAGTTAAATTTATGTCCTTAGAAGCCATTTGAAAAGAGATGTAGCACCCTGAGCAACAAGAATCCTATATACTGCACTAATATTTAATTGATATTGAGAGGGGTGACTCATTAACCATCCCTCAGCTGCCTGTTAATACAAACAAATGATAGTTCTATTCTTTCTCATAAATCAGCATGCAGTCTTTTAAATACATCCGCAGAAGCTGCAAAAGAAGTGGTAATCAAAGCATATGCTCACTGCAGTGCCTGCATGGTGGAAAGAAAGAAAAATCTTTGTAACAGCTTTTCAAAAAGGAACAGAATGTGCCACTGATTTAAGTATTGCAGTTTACTCTTTACTTGCTGTTACACTGGATTAAAGTAAATACACACTATATGTTTTAATTTCTGAAAGTATAATTATTTGACTGCCGATTCTGATTTCAATTTCTGTTTTAAGTTTGTGTTTTAAGTGCTGAGAAGATGATTTTGTTGGTTTTCTTGAGAATGAATTAAAGAGCTGTGCACTTTTTCATGATGGCCCTGCCAGATAACTAGATTTTATCCATCTTGTGAGAGTATCTGATAGAACCATGGCAATATGTGACATTAATAACAGGCAGAAGTTATAGAGAATTAGTCTCAGATGTTTAATTTTCCATTACAGAGATATATATTTTAAAAATTATTAACTATATGCACTAGTAATTTAATCTTTTTTCAACCAGTCACTTTTTATTATTATTCACTTTTTATTAATACAATAATACCTAATTAGTTTATTTTTAGCTGCACTTGGAGAATTCTGTCGCCCAAAATATTTGCTTCTCATCATTTTAGTGTGCTATTATCAACAAATATTACTTAGTATGCCGGTAATGGACAAGAAAATGGACACACCATTTCCACTTCACTGTAAAGTCACTTAATAGGGTGTTGGTTCCACACATACAGGCAATGTGGCCTGTACTGTATGTGTTGCAATGTAGAGTCTACCAGTGTTGAGAAATCTACAGGAGGGATCCTTACACAATGAAGTCAGTACACTCAACTCCCTGTTGATGGAGGTGAGAAGCCCTCAGGCAGTGTTTCAGAACATCCCATAAATCCTCGATTGGGTTCAGAACTGAGGCGTTTCTGTAAAATATTCTTGAGCCTTTTTTAAAATTCTCGAATTTTTTTCTTTAAATATTTCTGAATCCAACAGCTTTTCCAATGCAAGAATGATGAATGTTGAATGATTGACATTGATACATGTCATATATAAAGGCCTTTTACATGGAGGATATGTGATGACAAATCAATTTAACACGTCTACTGTACAATCGGTATTGCTTCAAGAACTTGAGTGGAACTCAAATGCAGTTTGTGATGTTGTGTAAATTGTCTAAAACATTACAGTTGTTTTGGCCTCCACCTGACATTGTAGATGCGGTATAAATATTGTGTATTTCTGCATTCAGCTACAGCATGGCAACCTCATTTGAGCAACTAATTTCAGAGTCTGTTGTCATGATGTGACAGATAATGTCCTGATTGCTTCTGTTCTGTTTTCATGGCTGCCTCAATCCCATCTTATTTTGGAGTTAAGATGTAGAACCTAGCAAATCTGTTTCCCTTGCAGCATCTGTTGTGATAAGGGTTGCTTTTCCAGGTTATGATTATGACAATTAGAATAAATAATAAATGTGACAGTAATAAGAGGTTAGAGCACCAGGTTCCACTGATTAATAGAGTAAGTTTTTTATTTTTCTGATCAGTGTGACATACAGATGTCATCATGTATAAAGTTATATTTTAATTGTCTCATTGAACCAAAGTGTATATTCTACCATTAAACAAATGAGTCATGAGAACACCAGCAGCAATAAAGGGCAAATTGCATATTACATCTACAATTCCACTGTATTTAATTAATCTTTATTACTTTATATGCTGGCAACATTAATTAAACAAAACATGGTGTTACCGTGAAATATCTTTTGATTGCAATGCATTTTCCTTTTCTACTAAGTATAAAATATTCAACGGTACCTTCTGGGATGGATTTAGACAATTCTTTAGGTGTTTATTATGCATACAGAAGATAAAGTAGCGAGACCTCTTCCTTAGGATGCTTTGTGTCTATTTCTATAACCTTCCTTCAGTGTTTAAAAGTGGTTTCCGCTCATGTGACATTTTATAAAAAGGATGGTGAAAACTGATTTATTCAGCCTATTTTAACTTCTGTGAAAAGAAACATTGGACAGTGAAAAAATGGAAGAGCCCATGGCTCTGTGGCTAAGGATCTGCGCGCATGGCTGGAAGGTTGCTGGTTCAAATCCCGTGGCCAGCAGAGGAATCCTACTCTGTTGAGCCCCTGAGCAAGGCCCTTAACCCCAACTGCTCCAGGGGCGTCGTACAATGGCTAATAAAGATAAAAAATCTCTTTCTCTAAAACGTTACGATTGATACTCATGTAGTTGTCATTACATTTTTGGTTGCTTCTTATTTATTTTAAAATACTATCATCATATAAAAGCTATGAGCATTTGTTTTTTTCTTTACAGAAAATGTAAAGGTTTTCCTCTGCTCAAAAGAAAATGTTGTTTGTACTCAAGCTTGCATAGGTGTAGTACAGTGCTTTCTGATACAGTTTGCTTGGAATAAGCGGGATGGGCTGTCTGTGAAATTCCAGACAATGATTTTGCACTGATTTAATCAAATACCAATGAAGTATGAGTCACTTAAGGACTTTTGTCTGTTTTGTTCTTCATATTGCAAAACTAGCATGTAAAAGACAGTAAATTGGAAAGCCACTCAAATGTGGCTTATTGGAACAAAGAAATTCAGAGGCTGTGCAAAGTGCAAATGCTTACTTATTATCAAGTCATTCTTTGCTGAAAGCAGTTCAGGAAGGCATGAAAAGCAATCAAATTATTTATAAAGCATGTGTAGAAAAATAACACTGCTCATCTCCTTCCTGCTCAACTGATTTTTCTGTAATGGGATCATAAATATCTACAGTATATATAAGTATGTATTTATGAATACTTTATAAATATTTACAGCCTTCTTTTAGAGTATGAAATGGTTTTCATAATTGTGTCATTTTGTAATAATTAAATGTGACAATCAGTAATTATTAGAATTGTAGCATTGTTAACATAACAGTTTGAGACAGAGATTTAACTTTACAGTATTGATTTCATTGGTAAAACAAGTTAAAGACATTATGGTATACGGTTAACCGCTAATGGGCCTTGCTATGCTATAGCATTGTATCGTGGCATTAATTAGTAGATTTTTGTCATCTTTGACAACCTAATCATGAAATAGTTTTGTGAATAATTACATAATGTATAGCTACTTTGATATTTGTGAATTTAATTTGAATTAAAGTAATTAAAAGCATTAATGCTTACATCATTTAAAATCTCCTGTGGTTCATGAATAAGCCTCCGAACTATGTCCAAAAACAAACTATCACATTCTGTCCCATTAGAATAAAGTGATAGAATATACTGTAGGTGAGAGGCACTGTGGCACAGTGGTTAGCATTGCTGTCATGCAGCACTGGGACCCTGGCTTCAATTCTTCAATTCAGTTCCCTGGTTTCCCCTGGGTGCCCTGGTTTCCACCTATAGTCCAAAGACATGTTAGTAGGTTAATTGGCTTCAGTGAAAATTGGCACTGATGTGAGTGTGTGCTTGTCTGTGTCTGTGGGTGCGCTGTGATGAGCTGCCGTTCCATCAGGGTGTGCCCTGAGGCCTTGCGCTCACTGCTTGCCAGGATAGGCTCTGGCTCCCCCTCTGGCTCCTGAATGGGATAAAGCGGCTAGAAAATGGATGAAAAAGAATATAGAGGTAGAATAAAAATTTCCAGGTGTTGAATCCCAAATGAGTATTTCGATATCATGACATATATACTGTTCTTTTGTCTTTCTACAGATTTTATTTAGTTAGCGGAGGCGTCCCTTTCATTATCTGTGGGATTACAGCAGCAACAAATATCAACAATTATGGAAGTGGAGAGGAAGCTCCTTAGTAAGTCTGTATGCTAAGCTGTTAAACACAGTTATAGCTTTAATTGTAGCCTTTTTGTTTCAATGGTCTTTTGTCTCAGTGGAATAAAACACAAAGTAATCACTGGCTTTAATGTACCAATTCTTTAGGTTTCAAGCTTTCGGAGAACCAATGATTTGCACCAAAAATCAAGGCTTGCTATCATATTATGCAAACAAAAACCTGAGTGACAAGTGTTCCCCTTAAATATGTGTTTATATTGGACAACCCAAAGGGGTATTTATACAAAGCTTGTGTAATCCATTGTATGATTTTTTAAATGTAATCTTTTCTTAGCTTCTGCTTGTAATTGTTTAGAAGGAGTTGGAATATCTCAGTATTTGGTTATTGTAAGACTGCAACCTCCAGTTGTTTCAATGACAGTAACCTTTTTTCCTGTTCTTGCAGTTGCTGGATGGCCTGGGAACCTAGCCTTGGTGCATTTTATGGTCCAGTAGCATTCATTGTGATGGTAACTTGCATCTACTTTCTCTGTACCTTTATACAACTGAAACGTCACCCAGAGCGGAAATATGAATTAAAAGAAATGACAGAGGAGCAACAGCGACTTGCAGCCACAGAAGTCGGGCATTGCCATATGGCAGACACTGGGTCAGTGTCGCAGACCACCTGCTCAGTGATTTCTGCATCTATGCTAGAAAATGAACACTCTTTCAAAGCCCAACTTCGAACAGCAGCATTTACTTTGTTTTTATTCCTTGCAACATGGGCATTTGGGGCTCTTGCAGTCTCTCAGGGCCATTTCTTGGACATGATTTTCAGTTGCTTATATGGGGCTTTCTCTGTAACCCTGGGACTTTTCATTTTGATCCATCACTGTGCAAAGAGAGATGACGTTTGGCATTGTTGGTGGTCCTGCTGCCCATCAAGAAGGAACACTTACTCAGTGCAGCTCAACGTTCGCCCCAAGGTTAATGTCAATGGAGATACGCAGGTGCACTCGCATTGCCTCCTGGATTCTCCTTGCCCAGGCAAAGCTGTGGCAAGCTTTAACCATTCAGCATCCGGACACTGTAAATTAACTAACCTTCAGGCTGTTCAGAACCACGTCAGCTGCCTTTCTCCAGTCACTCCATGCTGTGCAAACATGCACAGTGAGCAGCTTATTGATGATGAGCCCCACATTCATGTACACTCTGAGGAAAACTTCAGGCCCAACGTGCACATTCACAGATGTCTGAAGAGCAGAACTAAACCAAGGCACTTTTCTCGTCATAGGACTGCAGGAGACAGAGAGTATGCTTACCACATCCCTTCCAGCATTGATGGGAGTGTTCACAGTTCTCACACAGATAGCCCACACAGTACTCATGATGGCCATACGTGCCACAGGCGAGTTTGCTGTGCAAAAGGAGATCCGTTCCCTACAATAAGTCAGCCGGAAAGCAGTGATACCAGCACTGTGATGTGTAGCTGCAGCAAAATGCCCGAAGATGACATTGTGCACCATACAGCCCATTTAGAGATGCACCCGCGTAGACAATCCTACCCTCAGAATCCTCCGAATCAAAATGGAATTCTAAAGGGAAGCTTGCATGAAGGTGTCATGTACAGTTCAGATAGTACAGGAAATATACGAACTGGCCCATGGAAAAATGAAACTACTGTGTAGTTAGTGGGCTTCTTTTTTTCCTCCCACTCCCTTTAGGAAAACTCAGCATTTCAGTACGTGCGCTTTTTTATATTACTTTCATGTCTGTTTACATACTTCTATTGTATAGAAATATCTCACACATCTCCTGTTTGTTTTACAGTGTCCAGTATTTTAAACCATATTTCCATTTTACTTTTTAAGTACTCTTAAGGCAAAAAGGCACATACAGCGAGAAATACCTTTCATTTAAAATAAAATATTTTTCTATCTATATAAATATATATGTGTGTGTGCGTGTGTGTATGGAGAAAATTCCTGATTGGAAAAGAGCTATTTAAAGAGGTAGTGTTCTCTGGAGAGCAGATGAACTCTGTCCTTGTGTCAGGTCTCATTGTCTGACTTGTTGTATCTACTAGGAGAAAATTCAATATCCGCTGTTAAAACACTAAATACACCAGCAGTTTAAAATCACTTGTATGTTCTCTATTCGACCATGCATAATATATACTGTGAAACAGAAAAGCTTAGTAATTACAGTTATTTATTGGCTTTTATAGGTACTCCATTAAAGCCAATAAAATTTGCACAAAGAGAAGCTGCCTCTTTGAAAACTAATACACTGCTTAGCCTGTAAAAGGTAGCATTAAATATTCAGTCTGTGTAATGTTTTAATATCCTGTTGGAAAGACGTATTAAATAACATTGTCACCGTTAAAACCTATGGTGCTTTAATGGTTGTATCTTGCATGGCATATGTCAGGGTATACCATTTCATAGTGTTTCTTGTTGGCAACAGCAGTACTTGTGAAAGGCTGTGATATTTCATGTCAGTATTTAATGTACATCATTTTGAAACCACACAAAAAAAAAAACTAACTGCACTAATGTGGCGCCACAGTGTGTGTAAAATCAGTAGAAGAGACCTAAAAAAGGTCCACACTAACAGTTCATTTTTATACAGTGCATGCAGTGCTAGTTGTTCGTAACTGTGCAGTGTGTTTTTTGCAATTGCCTCCAGTAAATGCAAGTTCCATGTTTGCTAAGTATGTCTTTGAAAATTGTAAGGATTTCAATGAAACCATATTCTCTTTTTCTTCTTTTGTTTATGCCATCACAGTATTAATGAAAGATTAAGGTATTTTTAAAGCCATTATAACAGAAGCAGAAATAAAATGCTGTTTCTTTTGTGGCAGTATAAACTCTTATGCTCGTTCTTTGGAGTGGATGGTAATTCTGTCTCCTGTATTTGTGGATGAGAGCTATAGATTAGAAGCGAGTCTGCTGTCAAATATTAGCATGGGTAGTGTGAACTAATTATTAATGATTGAATGAGGAAAGAGTTCATGCTGGAGGGGAGTTAAAACTTTTGCTGTCCCATTAAATTGATTTAGCATAATAATGGTCTTAAAACATTCCCACACTATGTATAAAATAATATAAAGTAATATAAAACTGGTTCTAATTTACTTTTTGTACTGAAATGTTAAAGATATTTTAAAAAAACTCAGAGATGGGATAGAAATACACAGACCCATTGGGTTAATGCTCAGTATCTGAGTAAAGCTGTTCTTCTTAAATTATCTCGAAGAACATTAAAAAAAGTTTCAACATATCACACAGTGTATGCATTATACACTATTTCTGTATAGTTCTGTATTTCCCTTGAATTGAGAAGACAAGATGTAAAAGCCAGATTACTACCAAGAGTATTTTGCTTTCTTATATTTACTGTACATTTTAAAACGGTTGTAAAAACAAAAGATTTCAGTGTGGATTTCAGTATTTATGTTAAACATTTTCTCAGATGTTTAGATGAGAAACATTTAGCTGTTGTACCACTGACCTTCAACTGCTGTATGGCTAGTCTGACATCTGTCATTATAATAAGCCAGTGGTACTGTAGCAAGGCCCACAGCCAGTTTCCACCTTTTTACATCTCCGCTTCAATAAATGTATATTTTTCACCATGAATAAATACTGTTTTACTCTATGTATGTGTTACATATGATATGTGATCTTTTAAGTAAGAGGCACTTCAGATTAATTTTAGCAACAGTAACTCAAAAATAGTCTGTTTTTACACAGCACCACTTGCTTTGTAGGTGTGTTTACAAATGTTTTTTGAATTGCCTATTTAATGAGTCTGCACAATTACTATGAATGATGATCGATTATTTTATAAGACATAAAATAAGTGCAATAGAAGTAGCCAACACCAATTACAAAATGTCCCAAAAGCACTGATCTGTTTTTCAGTTTTTGAAATGTATTCTCTTTTGACTATTATAAGCAACTAAAAATTCAAATAACAATACTCAAAAATTATATCTTTAATGAGAATAACATGTAATAATAAACAATTATTGTTGCAATCAACCTTCTAGTGGTGGAATACACAGGATGCAAAAATGGAAAAAATAAAAAGGAGGATATAAAAACACACCACCAGAATTTTATGTTAAGATACTAAACTTAACTAATTAACTTAACTGTGCTATTGTAACACATACATTATTTTTGAATAAAATGTTCGCTCCATTAGAAATCCTATTAAATGTTCGTTCCATAAGATAAAAAGTGCACACAAAACAAGGCATTTTTAATGATGACCAAACATTTGCAAATTAAGGAGAATTAAGGCTTTTTTACCATTTGTGCAATCTGCTTCCCAATGATCAGATAAATTGAAAGAGTGATTAACTGTTTCTGCAGAGGCTGCACTATATAGCAGTCTCATTTATTGTTTCAGTGTATTTATTTCCACACTAGTTTTTGCTAGGACACCACCTCACTGTTGTGAGTCTTTTACAAGCCAATAGTAGACCCAGGAAATGAATCGTGCCCGCCTCCATATCAGTCATCACTGGGCAATTGATGTTTTAAAAGTGAATTTGGTTTCAATTACTCCCCATTTCAAACAAAACAACTTTCAAGTTTTGCTCTAATAAACTATTTTAGATTTTTTATCTAAATACTTTAACCCATTTCAAGTACCTCACTTTGAAAATCAATCTTTGCTGATAATGACAAAAACACCAAAAAGTAATGTGAGTTGCAAATTGTTCCCATGACAGGAGGATTACTTGTTGAAACTGGTTATGATCATTTTATTTTACATCTGGAAAATATCTTAAGATTCATCATTTACTAGCTGTGATATTTCTTAAATAAAGTTTGCAGCATTTGTGCCAGTTCTTTTAATACAATTGTTCTTAACCTTTACTGCAGTCTGCACACCTTTGCTTCTTAAAATATGCTCTCACGCCTCTGATCAAAAAAACTGTTAAAGTAGTGTAGGTCAGTTCTTTAAACCTAAAATATATCATAACTAAAGAATGAAAGAGAATTCTATATTTTAATGTCACAGTAAAATGAAGAATACATGAAAACATACACACTTTAGGTTTACCTTAAAATACCTAGGTTTGATGGAACTACAGAGTATGGCAGTTGTACATGCATGTCTGTGTTTAATTTGTGTTTTTGATGATTTCCCTTCTAAAATAATCTGGCCTCCAAGTTTAAGGACCACTGTTCATCATGACACTCCTAAGAAAACTTCAAATACTTCCTTTTTGCTTTTCATGTATGTGAATTTTACCATGAATTATACCAATTCTGCCACTTTCCAAATTCAGTGTACTTTATTTTTTGAAGATTAATATTGAAAGACATTTCTCTAAGATAAATTTCTCTATTCTTAAATAAAAATAATGCTGATAAATGACTGTATTCATGGCCTTTTTATCTGAATTTGCATACATACCTTTACCAAAGTTTTTACATTGTTTTGTGGAATATCATCCATTTCACAAATGTTGAACTAAGAAAAACGTATGTTTATGAAAACGTATGATGACTTGATTTTCACACACCCATTTGTTGCAAAATGTGTGAACCTACCTCCATACAAGGCTTGCTTTAACCTGGATTGAAAAATAAGGACTAAAAACATTTGCTAGGAAATAAAATGTCTAGGTCAGTGTTCAGTAACTAGCAACTCAACAACTAGAAAGTCTTCTCATTTACTTCCCATGTGAGATTTGATGTCCAATGTTGACAAGATCTCTCGTTCTTAACAGGTAATTAAGGAGACTCAATGCCTCTAAGATAGTGTCAGGATCAATATAAGGAGCAGTGAGGTGCTCCATGTTATTCTGAATTAAAGAGATAAACAGAAACCAAGTCTTTTGTTTGACCTTTTAAGTTCTGAGTTTCTTAATAACCAGTGTTAACAGAAATTGATAACTTACAAAAATGTAACCTTCATTTGGAAGGGTGGAAGATGGAATTACTGTTTTCCTGTAGTATTCTTTTCATATAGATCACCTTTTTGATATCCTTCTTTTAATTATATTGAAGAAATGATCACCTACAGATATAACAGATTAGTGGATTCCTCTAATCATGTGTTATTTTATCCTTCTATACTGTAGTTTGAATAAAAATTACAGCCACCTTTAAATATATATAATATTGTCATGAATAATAACACAGCACAGTTTTTTAAACGCCATTCTGGTTTATGGTATTTTTCAAGAGCATGAAGGCACTTTGAAATATGGGAATGACTTGTTAATTCGATTTTGCCGTTTCACAGCACTCAGGTGGGTTTAGAAAACGTGTTAGATTGCTCTGACCCCTAAGTGTTTAGAAATGGCAAGAGTTAATTAATACTTATTTTCTTTATATATATAACTTCCTATTCATTCATCATCGGTGTCAGGTTTATAAGCATGGTGTCATACTGTATAGCTTAATTAACATTTTTCTATATTTTATTTTGGTTATCTAATTTCTCATATTTCATTTATACCTGAAAGGTGTAATTTCAGCACCAAGATAGTCAGCACTTTTAAGATCCTTTAGGTTTTGTCTTTTAAAATTAAAACACAAACTTAAAACTTGAGTTTAAAGGATTTACTGACTGGCCGAGTTTCACGCAAAACTAATTATGTTCTCTGCTCCATGCACTAATATCCTTGACACCAATGAGATTTAATTCATGTAGGGTTACTAGATTTCAAACTCGAAGCTTTAGAACACATTTTAACTCACCGGAGTTCACTTGTGGATTTAACAATAAACGTGAAGTGCCAAATTATATTCACAGTGCTTGAAAAGCACTGAAACAAAATAAACATAGAATTCTAGTGTTACATGATCACAAATATAAAAGCTGCTCAAAATGTCAGTGTATATGAAAGCATCAGTCAGGGGTAAAAAAATAATTAATGAAATGCATGATTACCACTGTAAAAGACACTTCCACAACACATAGAAGGAATTGTTGTATTTTGCAGGTTTTAAGGAAAGAATACCTGTTTATGCATACTGCTGTGTCATCACACCTCTCTTTAATGCAGTCATTTAAAATATAATTGTGTTTATACTGAATATTAACTAAGTGCCTACAGGGGATTCTTGAGAAGCACAAAAAGGGCTGAACTACAGTCTATCTTACTAGGTACACCTTTCAAAACAGTCCATTATAATTGTGCTCCAGTGTCAGATTCAGAGTTCTTCAAAGTTCTGCCTACAGTATGTACAATACACAAATGTAAAGTAAGATGTATAACCTTTGAAATACTTCAGGTACAGCATAATATATCATACATCATAGTCTGTCATAAAAAATGCTGTCTAAATTTGTTGAAAATCCTTTTAATTATATTTCTGTTAATTCAAAAAGTAAATAAAGATTAACGCCACTGGATTTACTAAAATCTATGTGAAAAACAATTTTTTTACAGAAGATTTGTTTTTAATATTTTTTTATCAACTCCTAGTTGAGTGCCAAGAATTCAACTTGACCTGTTTGTCAGCTGTGCTTCTTAATTGTTCGACAATAAGGTACCAGAAGACAGTTCTTCATTTTCTATGTTAAAACCCAGAGCAGAGTGATGTTCATGGTCAAATTATAAAATGACATTAAAAGCACAAGGAAGGTAATATATGTAGATACAAATGTGGAGGAAAGGGAGAACGTAAGGATTTTTGTCCTGAGTTTCAGATTGTCCAATGCTTTGTAATTCTTGCACAGCAAAATATTGCAAAAAAAATCTGTCAGAGTAAGGGATGCAGAACTCTGCACGATGATCCGTCATTTATTCAAATTAAGGAAGAACCAGCAGAGCATAGCAAGATAAAAGTAAAGCATCTACATTTCGATTTATGAAATGTCGAAAGACAGGTGGGGAGAAGGTTGGCAAACGCTTCTGAAATAATAAAATAAAAATCCAAAAAGCGTTGTAAACATTAAGTAGGTCATTAAATACAACCACGGAGAATGTGAAAAGAAACGATAGAAAATTTCCAAAGATATTTAACTTTGTGCTTCACATTTTTGCTATGAGGGAAGGCACTGCCACCTAGTGGCCTGAGTGCAATATTTTTTTAGTTATGTTTCTGAGAAAAGGGGATGGTGGTAATACAATCATTTTAATGAAATTGTCCATTACAAATAGTCAGAAATAGTTACGTCAAGACGAGCTATAGAAAGACTTACAGTAAACAAAAATGATTCTTTTCATAATAAAAAGTGTACACATGCTTTTCTTTAAACGGTCCCTAAACAGTTTGCTTTTATTGCTCTTTAGACAAGAAAGGTGCATAATATATGTTTTCTGCTTTACGTGTCTGCTTGATATACAGACTTTATTGACTTGAAAGCATTCCAGCAAGCTCAGTGAATATTTAGGTTTATTCACTAGGCTTGAAGCCTGCATCCGCGATTTTAATTCTCTGCTGACATGAAAGATGTAGAAGCTCTCTCAAGAAGATGCTTCTCCAGCTTTCTATATATTTGCAGCAATAATCATTCTGCCAGAATTGTTTGTGTTATCTTTGAAATGTTGTAAATTACACTCCCAATGTTCTTCCTTCACAGAATACATTTTTGGTGGTAGGGACATGGGGGTGGGAGGATGGTTATAACCTCTTCTGGGTTTTTGCTGTTTTATATGTCACACTAATTAATACTTTTCTATT